CCTAGATGTCTATCCTGACACCCACCGGTCCCCCTGGTGTTGGAAACTACACCTATTGGATCCTCATAACTAGATTATCCTTCCCCCTTCTACACTGTTGTGGAGGACGCAGTAGCATTGGGCAGAACCCACCAAGCTAACGGCCACTAGCGATAATGGCGGAATCAGTGTCCACTCAACCGTCCACAAACTAGGTAAATGTCATAGCCTTTCCCACAGTAATTATGCTGCTGTGTGCGTCTCTAGATGCCAATGCCTCCATTTCGGCCGGAATAAAACGCTAGTCATCATCATAACAGATCATGCGTAAACGGCGAGATTCTAGATGTGAGAAACTTCCGGCTGGCTCGCCAAGTATAGGGTCATGGCGACCATAGGTTGCGTATACATAATCGATTTGTGGTACAGCAGTATGAGATTTTTCCGTCATTCAGCTCCGGCCTTGGCATACCTTTATTTTGGTGTCTCAACAGTTAAAGCACCATGTTGTGTAAACGCAAGTGGAATAACGATCTCAAATCAATGCAGTGAGCTTTATATACCCACACATAATCGTACAAAATATTCAACGAATTTCTACTACGGTCCATTCACCTACACCGTCCCGGTCATTCCATGGCGCTTTAAACACCTGGAAAAGATCACATATTGGCTCTATGCTGTTCACAACGACTCACCATCGTATCAACCCGCCGCATGAGGCCTCGTTGACTGTCGTGCAATATGAAATATTTCACACCGACCGTGAGTGTCACATCAGTAGGCCTAGCACCGTCAACTCTGAATAGATCATCAACAGCAATGAGAGGATCTAGGCAAGGAGTTAGTACGCATCCTCTCGAAGTATGAGATCAGTATCCTCATCGGGCTGCCTATCACCCTTCAAGCGACGAGGAAACCTATCGGGCAGATTGAGGCCGTACCTGAATGTTGCAATTGGTAACCAGTGAAGAGAAGATAACAGTGTAGATAACAGTTACTCCAAGACCGCAAACGACATGTAGCGATGACTATGGCCATGCATCGTACATGTATGCCTTGATGTCCTTCAGCTCAGAATGCTGGTCCATAAGGAGGGAGCCATCGCTTGTCGAAGAATCGGCCGCATCGGATAGTGCTTGGAATAGCTGATCTGATGGTAAGCAGTATTACTGCAAAGTAGGGGAGGACAGTCCTACTCGATAACACGCCCTTCAAAGCCTGACTCGACTGTGACCAGTACTTCCCCCTCGAATCTAACCCGCTATGAAGGATTTGATCATGACTGAGAGCACACCAGTACACAGTACTAGTGCAGAGAGTATGGTACTACATAAACGATATGCATGCGTCGCACCTCCCATGAAGTCGTCGAAAGGCAAAAGTGATTGCCGCCGATTCTGCCGCAACATAGTCTGAG